AAAGAAAGAAAGAAAGAAAGAAAGACAGACAGACAGACAGACAGAGAGAAAGAAAGACAGAGAGAGAGAGAGAGAAAGAGAAAGAGGGAGAAGTAAGTGAGCCTCCAAGAGAACGTTGAAGGATTATTCCTGGTCTGTTAAGAGTTATATAAAACAGACAAAATTCACGGGATGTGATATTACTCATAAAACATCCGAAGTGTCCATTTTGTGAAAAGAAAAACGAAAAGACAATTAACGCTTCTTGATTTCACAACTGTAAAGGCAGACTCAAAGATCAGAGTGCACATCTGAGACCCAGGTGCCCTAGCCCGTTCTAGGTCTGCTAAATTCTGAAAATAAGCAGGCGGTAGAACTGGATTTTTCCTACTGCCAGAAACCTTTGCCCAAAATGACAGGAAAAAAAAGGAGTAACTAAAGTTCAACTTTTTTATCTGTGTCTTGGAACATGCCAAGCACTCATGCTCACCTGAGGTAGGCCAGCCCCTACGACAGCACCGCTGTGGATCATGGGGCCTTCCTTTCCTACAAAAAGACCTGGGGGAAAAGATATAGCAGGTTAAGGGGAAAAATCAGCTGCCTTCTGATGCCAGAAGAGGAGTCAGAAAGACAAAGCAGTGAGAGCGGAGAATGGTTCTGGCCTTACCTCCAGCCACGCTGAAAAGGACCCCCAAGGCTTTGCACACGAGAGTCCGAAGGCGCACAATCCCGGGGACCTTGACTCCATTCAAGTAACATTTGATCTCTGGAATTCCAGAGCCGGCAGCCACTGGCTAGAAAGGAAAGCATAACAGGAGGCTGTAATGGAACCAGGCCCGGGGAGGTGAGGGCTACCAGTAGTAAATTTGGACCAGGGTAGCCCACACCGCTGGGAATGGAGGTTGTTCACCTGCACCCCTCGTGGAGAGCAAAACAGAAAACAGCAGCAGCTGTCAAGAAGAGCAAAGAGAGAAAGACCCTGTTTGCCTGCCCAGTTCTCCAGCATGCCCAAATTTCAACTCTCATACGCTCCATTCCTTTTCTCTAATCCTCACACTGTCAAATGTAAATCTATTCTCTGTAAACAGGGAACCGGAAGTGTAGCATTACCTGGATTAAGACAAAGAGACTGGCCAGAAAGATGAAGGTCAGGTTGAAGCCCAGCAGCTCTAGCAGGGAGATCGCCAGGCAGCCTTTCTCATTGCAGTCCTCCACCGCTGCAGAGATGGAGTCAAGGAAAGGGAACGAGAAGGGCCAAGCTACGTTCGGGCGAAAGTACCCGGCCCAAGGTCCACTTGGAAGATAATCACTTCCCCCGAACCCTGGGCGCTGCCCAGGCCAGCAGGATTCCTCCAACATGCTGGTTTGCGTTCTCTCCCCCATCATCTTTCGACTTTCCAAGCCAACACCCAAACAACAGAAAAGATACAGTTCTGAACAACATGGAATTTAAATCTGGAGAAGAGGCGGACGAAGAAATCTACAAAAAGGCCCACCTGGAGAGGGAAGAAAGCTTATTTTTTATAACAAAAAAACCCCAACACACTGGTTCCTGCAGATTGTACACCGGCTAAAGAAAAGGAACGCAGGCCTGACTCCGCTACCGGAGTGAACCACTCGCGGCTTACCATCCCCGTGCAAACTCCAATGGCGAAAACCATCATCCACTTCACCGCTTCATAGCGCTGGCCCTTCTGAAAGGGAGAAAGACAAAGGTCCTGAGGCAGGTGGGTAAACGGGTAAAATCAGAGAGCCCCTTTCTTTTACAATCTAAACCAGGATCCTTTGCAGAGAGATATACACAGCGTGAGACTGAATCCCTAGCCCTCCCACTTTTAACCCGCATCCCTTACAAAAATCAGGTTTCTAGATCTCATGGCTGCTTTGGAAAGGCGTTGTGGCTTATGCAACTTCCTTAAACAGATGGCCAAATGCTGCAACCGCTTTTTTAACAATATAAAACCAGAATGGTGTTCCAGTTTCGATGTTAAATCACGCTTGATGTGCCGAGTGCTTTTCCTTCATCAGCTCTCCCTGGGGGCAAAGGTCTGACGCTGCACTGGGGCACGGATGAGAAAACTACACGTTGGTCAAATCCACGCCATGACACACAATCAAACTGCTTGCAACCAGACCTGCCAACTCAGTCTCGGCAGCAAAGATTAGATCACTTTACAAAAGGCAGAACCATCAACAGCGACCAACGTTGAAGGTTTCATATTCCCTCTGCAGATAAACATTAGCAATTTACTAAAACCCGCACAACGCCCTGCATTTGCACATTTTTCCTCTACCTACTCAGCAAATGCAGAAAAGAGAGGGAAGTACGTATCTGAACTGTAAGTTACTTCTCCCAGGCGAATAAGCTTCGAAAGGAAAAAAAAATCGCAATGCCTCATTCCCAGGAATGCAAGTGGCCTTTCACCATCTGGTTTATTTATTAGACTTATAACGCACGGCAGTCGAGACTCTCGTTATATTTTACCTTGTTATCGAGGCTCTCTAGGACTTCCAGGTAGGGTTCATTGAGGCAACGATCATAATCCAAGCTCTGCAGAGGAAAACAAAATGCAAATATTTTAGAAAGGCTGCCTAACCGGAAGAGACAAGCAAGCTGTAGCCCAACTCAAGCAGAAGCCATTTAATCTGCTGAGAGTTGGATTCACACAACTACGACAAACTTCCCAACCTTATGATAAACCAGTCCAACATCATTCATCAACCCTGACTTTAGATTTCACCAGTGGAAGTGCTGCTTCTCCCCAAAGGAGGAGTAAGGTTGGCTGCCAAGTAAACCAAGCCACGCTTGTCTGGAGCGACTGAAAATGCCACCTCAAAATCACTTCACGGTGACTAAACCTCCAAACCGTCCTCTTCGCAGCAGCACAAAAGCAGCTCGCTATTCTTTCAGGCAGTTGTTTTGACCCTCCAGTCCTGCCTGCCGTTCTGAGATTTCTTGGTGGTCTCCCATCCAAGCACCCGCCGAGTCTGGCCCTGCTTAGTTTTCCTGAATTTTCAATTCAAGTCAAAGAGATGGGTGAAGACGCCCATTCAGAAGACTTGAGGAGACACACTCGGGGACGATAAGGCTTCCGGCAACTAAGCTTTACTTTGCTTTTATGCTTTTTCGGGAGAAACAGCAGCTTCCAGCAGCATCTCTCTGCTTTCCGCACGACCTTCAAGCTCGTTTTTCACTCGTTTCACCTCATAGTCTTTACGGGGCAGAATTTCGTCGTCTTCTTCCTCGGTCTCTCCAAGGATGGTCTGCAAAACACAGCCAAGAATCAGCGGCGCAAAGGCAAACCAGGTTTGCACAACAGACCACTGCTAACATCCGGGAGGAATTAAAAAAATAAATAAATAGCATTTTTTTTTTTGCATTTAGGGCCTCGGAAATCCGGGCCTGCTCCAGCGACCCCTTCGTAAACGCTTCTGCTCTCGTTTCAAGCGTCCTGATGCTTCCCCCTTGCAAAGCCTTGGAGAATCGGCAGCACATTCTGAATTTTCAGCTCGTGATGCGATGATGAACTCTGCACATGCTCAGGGGCACCCTCCTCCCTTTGTCACGAGTTAATAGCAAAAAAAACACTGGCAGGCCTAGCCTAATTTGCATATGCAAATGTAAGGCACTCCCAAAAGCAAGCTCTGTTGAAAAGGGGGGGTCCAGGCCCAAATTGGGGCAGGGCCAAGGCAGCGCCTCCC